ACACAACAATGCAAGGATGCTGCAAGCACCCTTACCGTGCAGATAAATTCAAACAGCTTCCATGGTTCAGTGTCTATTGATGACTCTGCCCTCTCTGATTTCTGCAAGTCTTCCTGCGGGCCCGAGATAATCAATACCTGGATGAGTTGTGGTGCGTATGATGACATCCTTTATATACTATCGCTGGTTCGGTTGTTGGGTTCATTAATCGGACAGGGACTCCCATAGGCGATGGAGTGACTAATGCTCGTGCTGCTACAACCGGCAGGCGTTCACGTGGTATATGCTCTAGAATATAAGGTTGATCAGGGATGTATATAGTCATCTGAGGTACATTACAGGCTGAGGCAAGGTTTCTTGCAGGACTGTGTGGTCTACACCAGGGGGAACCTTGCTATGCCCAGTATGATGACCTTGAGCAAGCAATAGACGGTGCAACATACTGCGGCACTATTATAGAACAGATGGATTAACCTGCCCCATTGGTTGCAAGTCAGAATATCAAATGTAGTCAAAGACTTTGGATTTTGCTTTGACGTGTTTCTCGACTACCTTGATGCTGTTGTAGAGAGAGAAGAGGGCGAACCAACGATAACGGAACTGAATGCTGATATTTTCACCTTGTACGAGTCTCAGCTTGCTTCACAGTGCTCAGAGTCGTCTCTTACCTCAGCCACCTCATCCCCTGAGCCAACTGTATGTCCCAGTTCAGCTGGGAGCACAATGCCCACATTCCTTCTCCTACCAGTTGCTCCAATAATGCAACTCGTGAACTTGTTTCAGTGACAATGCTATGCAATATTGCAGTGACAATGCCATGCAAGCTACGGTTGAGTTGTAGTATTGTTTTTTCTCTAGAATTATGCTTATGCAGAAATTAATATTACAATGGTGTACAGATTAAAGACCACCAAATTGTATCTTGTCTGTATGGTATAGCTACCGAGCAACCTACAAAAAAGCTTTTGCTTCAGAAATGGGAGAAAGGTGCAAAAATAGGGATTTTGTGATTATCTAGTGGCTTGATTTTTAACCCTCGGCGCGCATGCGCAGGGAGGGTTACCGTACTCGGTTTGTGTCTGTTGCCACGTTTTCTGCCACTAGGCGCAACGATGCAGCCAATAAGTTATGCCAATAGGCTCGGCGCTACACTGGTTTGATTTTTTTTTTAAACTGGCGGCGGTAAAAGTACTGCGTTCTAGAGTTATGACGTGAAAGCATTAACAAGCCAATATGCAAATTAGCACAGGATTACCTCGAGCTTGCTCTGCGTACGTTGGAGGCTCAAGAAGTCTCAACAGAGGGCGTGAATCGACTCCCGCACTGTAGCTAGCCCGTGTCAGACTCTCCATACTAGAGGAAAACCACGGGCAAACGAATTATTATACTAAGGTATCGCGCTTGCGCAGATCGCCGAGGCGGTTTGCACTTCGTCCTTTTCATTCTGGAAGTGGCAAGTTCTGCAGAGGAGTTAGCTAGCTATATTATACTCCGCCTACATCAATGCTTCAGTACTTTTCAGTTTGTAAGTGTGTCTGTCTGTCTGTCTATTACCACGTTTTCTGCGTCTACGCGCAACGAGACAACAAAACAACGTTACCAACGGGTTCATCGCTATATACACTGGCAAAAAGGGCGATTTTCCTATAACTACTGCGTTCAAAAGTAATAGCGTGAAAAGCAAGTGAACAGGCCAATATGCAAATTAGCACAGGCTTACCTCGACTGCGTCCGCTCGCTTTGTGTAGCTATCTTGAAAGCACAAGAAATCACAACAAAGGGCGTGTATCGATTCCAGAATGCTATATAAGCTTACTATTACGTGGATAGAACGGCACCGCGTACTAAATGAAAGAGGCGTGGTCATGCCTGCGCGCTACGCCCGAATGGATCATGATCGGAGCCGGACCTCGTCTAGGTCTAGGGCTAGGGCATCGACAGACTCAACCAATCGATGCCCTAGTCCTAGCCCTAGACGAGGTCCGGCTGCGATCATTATCCATCCGGGCGGCGAGCATCCTATTGACGAGGTCCGGCTCCGATCATGATCCATCCGGGCGGCAAGCAAAGTAAGGTGCGAATAACACTGGTCTACTACGATAGCATGATACGTGGGCACGCGCGCGTATGCCCACGCCCCTTTCATATTGTTCGCCGTGCCGTTCTTCCTACCTGGTGTCAGACTCTCCGCGAGCTACTAGCCCGAGACCACGAGCAAAGGCATACTAAAACCCAGCCATCAATTTAGTGGTATATACTGAGCATATGTAGTTCGCTGAGGATTTACACTTGTGGTGCTTTTCATTATACCATAGATACTAGTATATACTTCCAGCAGCTGCCGATGCAGGAAGCAACACGCATTATACAAGCGCTAAACGAGCCTCGCCTTCGCGCGCGCACACCCAGAAACGCGCAATCGAAATTCTGCGATCTTATTGGTGTGGCCAGGATCGACCGTCCGTCACGGACATAAAATCGAACGCAGGCACCGTCGATTCATTATCAAACCGGCTTGAACCAGTCATTGCGAAGTAAAAAACAGCCAGGCTCCAATAATGTTGCTCTCTGTTGCTTTGGTGGTCATCGTCGGAACACTTGTTGGGTTATCAGAGAGCAAAATCCACCCTCGCTCAGCATACAGAGAAGTAGCGAAAAAGCTCGAAATCCACACACGCCAAACACCCGAGCAAGATGCATGCGTGGACGCCAAAGTCGAAGAAAAGCTCAACAATGATTTAGCTTGCGTCAAACGCGTAGCCGAGTTAGAGTCCGTGGTCGATGCCGTAATTGGAGAGACGGAGGACGACCAGTCGTCCGTGAATGCCGCCTTCCAAATCATATGCTTGCCCGAGTGCGGAAACCATATTTCTGGAGGCGGAAGACGAGTGCGGATTGTACGACGATTCGCCGGGGTCGCGCAACTTTTTTGTCGGGCTCTGCGGCAACAACGAAGGAACTCCGTGTTATGAGTACTTTGATAGAGCTCTTGAGTTCTCAGTGAATGTATCTATCTCATGCTACTACAGTACGGTAAGCTCCGGATCTTCGTGCCAATGTAAATCCGAGCTTGCATTAGAGGTGGAGGAGCAGGGATGCTGCATCAATGTCTACCAAGATTTTGCTCGAGCTATTGCAGAAGAGATCCCTGGTGCGAACGATTATCGGCCGAATCAATTGTACGGATTCTGTGACGTCCGCCAGCCAAATGGCTGCAATAATAGTCCCTTGCAAAGTAGCTCAGTTCGTCTCGAATACACCATTCTTGCCGTAGCAGCAGCTTTTCTGCTAGCTCTCTTTGGCTGATTGATCGAGAAATTAACACAAGAACACTGATGTTTAGTTTAGCTATTATACTTTGTGGTGCAGACTATTATAGCTATAATTATAGTGATGTTTTTCATTATTGCTTTCTGGAGCGAGGCCTGCTGTTTAAAAGCACTAAAAAGTGCAAACCCTCGGCGAACTGCTTATGCGCCATACCGCTAATTATTGATGGGTTGGACTATCAGATGGCTCGCGGAGAGTCTGGCACGGGCTAGCTACAGTCAACATATTATATTATATAGCATGCGGGAGCTGATACATCATGCTCTTCGTTGGGACTACGTACTTGGGCTTCGTGGTCGATCGATCGCGCCGCGCATTTATAATTACGGATGCGCACAGCATTTTTTTCAAACGCATGACTGACAGGTACAAAATAGAAATAATTATACTAGTGGAAATGTTGAACATTGTTGGCGAGCGGGAGCGACCCAACTTGGGATTTGTCCGCGATGTTCGGGCTGCATAACGTGCCGTCAGCGCACAGCTCTCCTTGCGTGAAGCAAGACAGAACTACCTGTCGCCGTTACATGCGTATACATCCATCGGGCCGCCCGACAACGCGGCATGTGTTAGATGGTCCATGTGCACGAGCAATCCTAGCGTATTTGCAAGTTGCAGCTTGGAACCATGAAGATTGGGAAGAGACAGACTCGGTCAGTCACCGAAGGCTTCAGCGCATGCCGTCGAATGGAGGCTAGATCGATCGGCGAGGCACCGTGTGTGAAAATGTGTAAAAATTTGGAAATAATTTCGGATAAAAAAGAAGCGCGTGCAAAGCCGCGCATGCGCACTTACACGACGTACGACGTACACGGTCGGTCGTATATAATTATACAGAAAATTCCGCTCGAACGAATGACTAGGTAGGCTCGCATATTATATATATTAGCATGCGGGAGTCGATACATGCTCTTCGTTGTGACTACTTGGGCCTTCAGGACACACACAGCGGTCGAGGTCGATCGATCTCGCCGCGCATTTATAATTACGCATGCGCACAGCTAATTTTTTTCAAACGCGTGACTGACAGGTACACAAAATAAAATAAATGAGGAATACAGAGAAGAAAATAAAACAGTAAATAAAAGGAACAAATATCGCAACAAAACAAAAAACAAAGACAAATTGGTTTAGACTACGCAACTCGATCCGCAACCGCGCCAGTTTCAGCAAAACCGCTCTTTTAGTTTTTGAGGCTCGCGTAGTTCAGCAGCCGTTGGTATAATTATATCGCTCATGGGCCGCCTCGAACCCTCTAGTTCGAGAATAGCAGCTGACAGACGGACAGACAGACACACAGACGGACCACACACAGAGACCAAGTACCAGCCATATAACCCTTGCTGCGCATGCGCGCCGAGGGTTAATAATAATATTATGCCAAAGTGGTTGTTTTACACTACCTATTAAAAATGAGCATGGGGTGTCATTTTTAACTTAGTACCCACTACCCTAGCTTCTATTGTTTTCTGTTCGTACACAATAAGCATCCGCATATGAATTTTCCCGATTATTGGTTGCTTACTCTATGTCAACAGTATAATATAGACAAGCTACGAATGCTGAAAAACTTGTCAATAACACCCACATTGACTACCCTGCTATGCCTAAAAGTTGGCCAGAGTTCACATATGAAACAGAAGTGAAAAATGATAGTTTGGCATTCCTTTCCACACGGTTTTGAAGTTAGGTTTTTTCCTAATGTAATGTAAAAGAAAGTCATATTCACAATATAGAGTTAGTATTAGGAAATGTTCATGTTCAGCATTCAGCAGTGTAGATCAGAGGGTCTTTTTGTGAGGTCCCCTGGCAAATGCACACGGCACAGCAACGAGAAGAACCAGCATTATAACCAGGAGAAACCATAGAGGCAGCAGTAGGAGCCAGAGAAGGGAGAGACCGACACTGACACAGGAGATGGTATAGTACGAGGCAAGCGGGCGGAGGTTGAAACGAGGACTGGCGGTGGCAAGGGAGGGAGAGTGAGGAGTAGTGAGGACACGCGTGACTTTGCTCTTTGGAGTGCGAGGAATGTCACTATGGGGAGAGAGAGAGTGGGGATGTATACAATGGACGCCACACACAGCTTAAATGACTTGTGTGTGGCAACTCCACATGGAGCGGAATTATGCACAACGCAGAAGGGTGCGGCAATTATTGCACGCAGGTGTAATTCCGGGTACACTGAGAAAGTGCACGTTTCTATATACGGGTGGGGCGCAAAGTGTGCATACAGTGTAAAAAATGCAAGTAACCTACGCAAAATGTGGGAGGATTAAGATAACAATGAGTTATGCATGAGAAATGTCACTGTATCATAAGATTAACCCCCTGGAAAATGTGAGTAACAATGTAAACTGTTGTTTTAAATCTTGAGGGCAGAAGAGGTGAGCATGTTTTTAGGGAGGGATTTCAGAGTAGGGGGAGTGTAATTATGGTTGCTGGATGTGTCATTGTGTGCAAGTGTATTGTGTATCCTTGTTCCATGAAGAAAGTATACCATTTTATGCCAAGAGAAAAAATATGTGGAGCTCTGGACAGCTGTTTCGGGCTTGTTGGCAGCTTGTGGTTCTGAACTAATGTTTTGCTATGTACGTGTAGCATAATGTATTGGAACTCATGATCACGTTGGTTAATGTGCTCCATATCGAAACATTACATCTAGCAACGAGGTGGATCGTAGTTCATGGGGAATCCACGAGCGGTGGTAGTAGAGGTGTCACCAGTCCCAGCAACGAGACCTTTAGGTAACAATGCAACGAGACGTTTAGGAAACAAAAAGGTGCTGGGACAACAGTTCACAGTCTATTTGGAGAGGGTACAGTGTTCTTTGGTCCTAACGAGGGCCGTCAACCAAGCGACAGTGATAGAGCAGGCGCAGAATCACACACACACACACACAAGCAATGAAGGCACAGTCGCCTGTGATAGGGAAAACGGATTGTCAGAGCTCCAAGTCCAAGTTGCTTGCACGTCGCAGGTTGCCGAAAAGTAAGGTCATAGACTTATCAGAATAATGATGAAGACGGCACAGTTACAGAATGACAGATGGAGTTATTATGCCGACTAGGCTGCATGACCAGTAGACTACAATCACTAATGGTACAAGAATACACAGACTGACTGACTCCATGAGCACAATAGTCACACATCTGTTACATTGCACGTTTACAAGGAGCCTGATCCACCACAGGGATGCATTACCGTGACCTCAAGGTGGGAGGTTGGAAGTGCGATGGTTGTGGAAGCTCAGGGCACCGCGGAAGCAACTGCCGACACGTACGAAAATACAACCCGGAGTAGTTGCTTCACGCTAACGCGCTCGGCAATTATGGGATGGTATACGTACATACGTACATGCAAATATCATAAATCGTTAATGAAGTGGGGGTGACCCTTAAATAGCATCTGTCTTGAAGGCATCCTTACATGTATATGCAAGCGTGCCATGATGCACACAACGAATGATAAAAGTAAAAAACGCACCTGCATTTTTCCTCTGGGGGTTAATTGTGCTGTACCCCCCACATACTCGGGTTCTAATGACTTTGGGGTCTCTGTAAAAGGGGTGTGGCCAGCAGCAGCAGCAGTAGTAGAGTAGGCAAGTCTGAGAGGAGAGAGGGAAGGGGGTGTGGTCTGGTCCCACTGGGGACTTGAGTCAGTTGGTAAGAGCTTCAGAGGAGATGAAATCTGAGAGGAGGGGGGAGGGGTGGAGAAGGAGGGAGAGAGATGGGAGAGGAAGAGGGTAAAGGGTGGTGACATCACACCATTACTTCACTTAAGACTATATGTAGCACACAGGGAAACACTGTAGCTATATTGTAAACTTGCATGTGATTCAAAAAGTGATTATAGCATGCGCAGACAGCACAGTGAAAAAAAACCTTCACATCACATGCATACAGAAGAGGGTTATAGTGACTCCAAACAGCACCACACTTCACTTAGAGTTGAAAAAAAAATAATTGTATGTATAGATGTTTAATATACTAGCAGACAGCACAGTGTAAACATTAAACTGACTCCAAACATGGTGATAAGGTTGGTCTCAGTTGTCTCCAGGAGTGACTGGAGTTTCCCGAGGTCAGAGGTGGGATGAGAAGGAGAAGAAGGAGCCGGAGAAGAACCACCATCAACACTGAACAGTCCTCCTACTGACTTCCACCACCTTTGTGAATAACAACAATGGCTTTTCATGGTGGAAAATGATAAAATATCGTTTAAATTAACAAATGATTATCACTTAGACCATAGTCTACAACAGAGCTCAATTCTGTGAATGAAAGCAAAACGCACAACTCAATGGGTGGCCTGTGCCAGAATGCCTTTAATCAATGGAGCATCGACACACGTATGTAGGAGTACAAGTGAGTGCAATCGCCCCATGCTACACATTCCCCAAGGACGCATTCCACAGGTGGCATTTGGCATTACAAAACAGTCAAAATATGAATGCTTCTACATAACAGAGGAGTGATGTAGAACTCACCTGTTGGAGGGGTGGAGTGCAGGGGAGGTGGGAGTGATGGGAGTGAGTGGGGGGGGGAAGAGGACTGCTGCTGGGAGAGACGTAAGTTTTCAGAGGAGTTGAGACGACTTGACAACATTGCTCGAGCTTCCTGAACCTTTTCCACAAGCAATTGCACCTGGAGCAGTAGAAATGTACAGTGTAGAGGGATGCTACACATACATGTACGTACACACAGTTTGGACAGATGTATTATCATTACTAGGAATGCGCACGCGCATATTTTGCCTCGCGCCTGCCAGCCAATGCGTAAACAGTCCGACTGTACTGAGGCCGCTCGTGCGCGCGCTCTACTGACTGCGCGCGAAGCTAGACTTCCTACGAATCTGCGCGCATACGGCGGAAAGCCTAGACTTGTACGAATGACAGAAGTTGACATTCCTAAGCGTGGCTAATTGACATTCCTAAGCGTGACTAATTGACATTCTTAAACGTGACAGACCCGGAGTAGTTGCCTCGCGCTAATGCGCTCGGCAATTAAAGGGCAGAGAACCATCCAAAAATTATATGGCAAATTGCCCAAAGAGTGCAAAAATGGGGAAAATATATAAAATACTTAAAAAGTGAGGTATTTGGGATTTTGCAGAAGATTGTCACCTTCTGAAACGCATTTTAATGGTAATTTAATGGCAAGGGGGTACAAATGGTTACATCATCGCTTCAATTGTGCACAGGGGTATTATCATCTAATAATTGTAGCACACGGTGACAAGGAGAGTGTGTATGTATTGTCCGCAGACTTCATCCACAACATGCACACAAGCACATTCCATGTTAGCCACCATCAACCAACATTCGAGCTAAACAAGACATTTGTTATGCTATCACACTAAGCTTTTAAGGTGTCACTAATGCATGATGTAACATCTTAGTGACCACTTTGGAAGTAAAGATGTTGGCAATTCTGCGTCACACAACGTACAGACACTGTGGTACACTTGGAGAATGAAATAAAACACGGGTCCCCTCACAGCAGAGAGAGTGTTGTTGTCCAGGAGGAGGGGCTGGTAGGTGAAGAGAGGACCATCCAACTCCATGAACAGGGCCTTCAGGGAACAGGCGTCCACTGCCGGAGTGTTTCCCGGACTGGAGTAGGAGAGGTCAGAGTCCACCAGAAGACACTCCCCTAGAGGAGGAGCAGTAGGTGCTGGCTAGCAAACATGAAATAGAGCTAAAGATAAATCCTCTACAGACAATACTCCAAGAGCATACAAGTCCATAAATCGAAACCCGCTGAATCATAACTTCAAAACATAACATATATGTCATGTATATACGTGCAGTAAAGGGCAACACTGCTAGTTCAGGAAATCTTACCTTATTATGTAAAGTCGCGTAATAATTTTCACATATAGGCATAGGGGAAAAACTGAATATTATGTGTTCCTAATGGGCGAAAAGCTGTTGGGAACTTGTCATGTGTACACATGTATGTACCGGGGCATAACTGCCTACACATACAATACACTGTAAGAATAATTACCATAATTTATGTAGTCCATCAGTCCAGGCTGAGTAAAAACCTACAGAACACAATATTTCAGGTAAACAACGGTAGGTTTGGCAGCCACGATACCTTAGTAACTCTATAGAGGAGGACTATTCCAGGGTCAGAGGTCAGATCCATCTGGAAGCTCCGCCCAATGATTTCCGTAAGCAGAGTTGAGTAGAATGGAAAGTTGTCCAAAACAAACGCTTTCCTGTACAGATGCCATTATTATTAAGTGTGTGTGTGTATAATATTATACATATTATATATATATATGTTATATATATAACAATAGACCATGTGATGCCAAGAGAAAAAAGATGCGGAGCTCTGGACAGGCTTGTTAGCCCTCATCAGCAAAGCATACCGCAACTTCTCTCTCTGGCATCACGAGTTTAAGTTGAGCGCAGCACTTGTGGTTTTGAACTACTGAGATTCATCCCCACAAGGCTTTGCTCAGGCGCAGCGCTTGTGGTTCTGAACTAATGAGATTCATCCCCACAAGGCGTTGGCAGTACCAAGCCGAATTCACATATATAGTGGATTGGGTCGCGGCCAGCAAGCACCCATATCCTGCCAGCGCATACACATGTAACAATAGACCATGTGATGCCAAGAGAAAAAAGATGCGGAGCTCTGGACAGCTGTTTCGGTATACACCACACTAGGAACTACAATTCACTGTCAGACATGATGGGCATTTGGACAAGAATGCACGTTTTGGATCATCACACTATTGTGTTCAACCACTTCTCCTATGTTTGTTTATCCTTGTGTGTGGTTCAGGTGCAACGTTAGTTCACTAGCCACATTGTGAGACGCGCACCTGCGCTGTATTCATGTATTCATGTAATGGTTTGAAACACGCCAACAAAGTGCATAGCGAAAGTGTTTTGTACTTTTAGTTTATAAAAATCCACGTGTAAAAGATTGTTGTACATAGTGAATGTGAAACTCTACTGTTTTTTGGGCAAAGACTCACTGAAAAAAAACACCGCTATGAACCGGTGAGATGTGACA